TGTACACAAAAGCGGGCTGCTACTCAGTTTTCTGTTGCTGAGACAAAATAGCAGAGAAAAACTGACTTAAAAGGAGAAAGCATTCCTTTTAGTTATTGGCTTTAGATGTCCACTAGCACTCACTGTACAATTTTGAGCCTGTAGCAAGGAAGAACATCATGGTAGAGAGCGTGCGGGTCAACGAGCTGTTCATCTTGTGGTGGCTAGGAAGCAGAAAGATGGGAAAAGGGGCCAGAGCCCCAGACCCCTGCTAAGGTTGCCTCTAATGCTCTGCTTCCTCCAATCAGAACCACTTTCTAATGCTTCCTTCAGCTCCTAATAGCACCACCACATGGACCTAGTCTTCAACACACGAGCCTTCATGGGACAGTCCAGATCCAAACTATAGCACATGCATAACTTCTTTTAACCAGCAGGCAACAACTCCCCCAAGTTCCTTTGACTGTAAGATAGCCCAAATCTAATGGGCTGGCCAGGTAACTCAGGAGACTAAAGTGCCTGCTTACGCAGAGCATAGCAGCCAGGATTTGATTTTTGGAGTGCCATGCCGGTCCCACCCCCAGGACACACTGAGACAGCGATTGAGACTGGGCATCGTGTCGTGCACCTGTAATCCCAGCTCTCGGGAGACTGAAAACAGGAGAATCACTATGAGTCCAATCTACATAGTGAGACCCTGTAGACCCTGTACTAAATACATAAAAAAGATTGTCCAAATCTAAACTACTTACAGTATTTATTATAGTGGAGAACTGGGAGAACATAGAACATATCATGTATGGATGATGGAGGAGTAAAATGAAAAAAGTTATATAATTTTTAATGTTCATTTAAAATGTTGTATTCTTGACCCCAGAATTGCATTATAAGAATCAGACCTTAAAAATATGCATGTGCACAGTGGAAGATAGCTCTAGGATGATCGCCCCAGTCTTGACTATACTCAACAACTAGAAACAATAGGAATGCATTTCTGTTCATGTTGGAGAAAGATAAATTATATGGAAATATAAAGAAAAATAACTGGTTGGGTGCATACCAAAGATTAAATGGGTTAACTAATTTAAAAGTGTAAAGGGGTAAAGTGCAGGCAGAGAATTAATAAGGACTAGATGTTGTATTTCTCTCTTTTAATATTTTCCTATTATAGCATACCTATTTTTCCCATGCTTAAAAATAGTTTTAAAAGAATGCAAGTTTACAGCTTCTTAACTGCACAAAAATAATGGCATGAAAGGTTATAATTTGATAAATTAATAATTTAATAATTAATTATAAATTCATGTCAGTAATTATGTAGCGAACACATCGATGCAATCCTGTATCAGAAGGTCAGTAGTGTTGGGAGGAAGAGGCCAAATGAGCCATCCAGATCATACAAAAGCAGCTGGAAATGCAGGAGAGCCAGTAGCGAGCCGCCAGGCGTGCCTGCCGTGACAACGCCCAGCTAACATCGCCTTATGTTTGCCAGAACCACACATGAGGCCGAGGTGAGGAGGGGCAAATGAAATAATGCATTTGTCCTTTTTAAGTGAATGCTAATATTCTGGACAGAAAAGGAGACGAGGATGAAAAGAGAAGCCCCATGCGATGGCAAACTCTGATTTGAAGTTGAGGACTCTTCTGTGGTCCGACTTCCCTCCCACCAACCCCCCAACCCTCCACGTCCCCATTATAACGTGGTAACAGTGACTATACTCACTCCATTTGTTTACAAAGATTAAAGGATGAACTGAATAATAGCCTCAGCATAGTACCTGGTGTCTAAGTTTTAATAAATATTTACTTTTCACATTATTTTTTTTGGTGTATTTATTTACTTTTCCATGGTACCAAGAATGGAACCCAATACTTTCACATTGAGCTACAATCTCAGCAATTTTTATTTTTTTATCTTAAGCAGCACCACACTGGATCACTAAATTGCCTAAGCCTCCAACTGCACTGGGATAGCAGGAATGTACCACCGTGTCCCACTTCTTGTTGTTTTTAAAGAAGCTCTTCGAGAGGGCCTTGAACAGTGCTATAGATGACATGGATGTGTAGAGATAGGGGACTTTTTGGAACCATACCAAAAAATAGCCTAAAGGCTGGCCCCAAGCCCAAGTTGAATCAAACATATCATCTTAAAGAATAAATGTTCTGGCACTCTCCCCTCATGTTCTGATTTATCACTTAGCTCAATAATGTAGCCAACCACCCTGACCTTCCCTGTCCTTCCTCTGTCCCCTACATAAATTCTGGCACAAGTGTCATTCTTTTACCCTTTGTCCTTGCTTTCTGGTTCTATCAATAAAAAGTGACAAAAGCTTCATTTCAGGTCTGTCTTTGAGACTCTTTCATTTTGAGGGGTCTCAGTTAGGGTTAAGGGCAGGCTTTTTGGGACTTCATAGGGTTTAAATTAGACTTTAATTCCAAGTAATCTCTCATCTGTTACCTAGTGCCGTGGTCCTGAACAGTGACAATGCCTAACATGCTCAAGAAATTTAAAGAAGTATGATATAGATTGAATAGCAAAATTATGAAAGATTTGCTGGAACACAATGAAATACAAATAACACCTAATTGAGATAAGAGGAAGTTATTTGTATGAAAAAAGCTTAATTTCATATTTATGTTACTGGTTTGATAATAAAATTATTTCACAAGCAGTTAATAGGTTGGAAGTGTAATTCAATAAGATTTGCATATTTTTTCTGATAAGTATGCATAAAAGATAATGTTATTGGAAACTTAAGTCCTCCAAAATTAAAATCATTTTCTTGCTGTAGGTCACTAGACATAGCATAACAACTATTAGCACATTACTTACATTTTATTAGGTACATGATAATCTAAGAATGATTTAAAGCATATAAGAGAATATGCACAGATTATATGCCATTACTATACCATTTTATGAAAGTGTCTCAAGCATCCAAGGATTATGGCATTGACAGGAGGTGCTGGTCCCAATCTTACAGAGATACGGAGCTGCATCACATGTGAAACAGAATAGTGTCTGGGTCTATCAAGTGTTTGAAATTAGCTCAGCAGATAAAAGCACCTGCAAGCAGGTACAGGGGCTCTAGGGGATCCCTCGGCCTGTTGTACCAGCCCCCCAACGGGGTGTGCTGAGAAGGCAATTGAGACTGAGCATGGTGACATGCACCTGTAATCCCAGCACTTTGGGAGGCTGTTAAACAGGTGGATCACTATGAGTCCGATCTAGTAGTGAGCCCCTGAACACCCTGCAGACCCTTCCCTAAAATACAGGGAAAAAAAAGTGTTTGATAACTACTGTTTCTTTTGTATCAAGTAGTGATAACTACTCTTTTCTTTTTTCTTTCCTTTAGTTTGCTTTCTTTTCTTTTCCTTTCCTTCCTTTCATAAGCCTTTCTTTTTGATACTTCATAGCCCTCTCTTTTTCTCTTTCTCTGTCAGTGCAATATTACAATACGTACACTTTTTATATTTTTGGACTCTCTAAGCTACCAACTAGAAATATTTTTTCTGTTATAAGGTATATTTTCTTAGCAGATCTCTATCCATTTATTTTGTTCCTAACATTTTGCTCAATAAGATGGTGCTGTGGTATGGAATGGCCCTCATTTATCTTCTGGAAGTAAATCTCCATTCTAAGCATACAGCTATATTTAATTGATTTAATTCCCTTGGAAACTTCCTTGCTGGTAAATTGTCCTTGGACTTAACACAGAGCATGCTGGCAAATTAGTGCCAGCGAAATGAGGTGTCCGGTCAGACTGACACACTGACAATGGTGTCACTCACCAAGTAAGAGAAACCTTAACAGTAATGATTTTACTGTCTCTAGTGGCAATAAAGAAAAGCAAGTATCAAAAATTTGTTTTCTTTAATGGAAAAGTTTCTTCTTTACCCTGCTTTATGTGTATTCTCCCCTATAAATTATATATAGATAGATAGAGATATAGGTATAGATATAGATATAGATATTTATCTACAAAACCAATCCCTTTTGTGGGTCCATAACTTTGACTTTGTTTCTTACAAAGTACTTACCAAGTCTTGTACATATGAGTTCATTAGTTTTGATGGACTAGAATGCTACAGGGAATGATATATTTTTTAACATAGGAAGGAGAATTGAGATTTGATTGAATACATAAACTGTAAAAGGAGTTTAAGGTCCAATCAACAAAACAGTGGCTATAACTAAGATGAGTTGTGTGTTCACATCACACATAACTAAACAGCTTCACAGAATTATTTTGGTAGAAAATGTGGTAAATCATGAGAAGCAGGTAAGTACAAAGAAATTCCCATATTTAATTTCAGGGCATAAGACTAGATTATTAAAATTAAAACTACCTGGACTTGAAAGATTAAACAATATAAAAAACATGAGTTTATTTTACTATTTAATCTCAAAATCTAGTTAAAAATTTAAGCTTATGGCTATCATTTCATATGATGACTATTGAAAGGAACAACTGATTTTAACATTATAAATCAAATTGCAAAACTATTTTAAAAATAATCAAATATTGCTATAATTAATACAGCTAAAACTTTCTGCTACAAAATTGACATATATTTTGTTCAGAGAAGTTTTACTCCATGGAATATCTGTCTTGCCACTTGAGCTTTCCATAATGAATCACATTCAAAAAGCATCAAAAAACATTGTCTGAAAAAACATTGTTGATGCTTGAAGTTATTTTCTAGCAAATGTTAAATATAATGCCCTGGTCATTTTGTGGAGTTCATTAAAGAAATTGGAAAGAGATTATTAATCTCTAACATGTTAAATTGAACCTGCATGGAAATTGGTCAAGTTTCTCCAGTGTCAGAAATACCTTATGGCTATTATTGATCAAGAGACTGGGACAGTGAATGTAATTCCTATCTAAACACAAAGATCATGAGGTAGAAATTATATTTTTAATTTTTAAGTTCAAAATCAATATGCTACTTAGCATAACAGAAGAAGTCTTGGTGGGTGGTGTAAGTTTTTATTATGAATCCACAGGAAAACATACCTGGCCAGGCTGAAAGCGTCGTCGATCAAACCTGCACGGTTACTGACAGAAAGAACCTAGGAGGCCAATCAGGAGAGAAAAAAAAACGCAATAATGTAGTACTAAAATGACAGGCATTCAGATAGAAAAGCATATCGTTGATGAGCAAATCCAGAGTATACCTCATGGTTCCTGATTAACTGATCAATTAATAATCTCCAATTCCTGAGGTCATAGTTGACTCTAAAGTAGCCTGTTTGATTGATGTTCCCCAGAAGCCAGCTTCCTTTGTCCAGATAAGTTATCCTGTGATGCTCTGAAAACAGCATTTTGAGAATAGATTTTAATTTTCAAGTCTTACAATGGAATGATGTTTGTTAATATCAGATATATAACAATAATCAAACGAGAGGGCCTTCATAAATATCTAATGAAGTCATTAATCACCTACATCTAGAAATGTCTGAAATAACATTGAGTTGTTTGCTTCTTATTATCTCAATTATTTTTATATAAATAACATGATTTCTTCTTCATAAAACTCCATTATATACACCTAATTTTATTTCTCAAAATAAATATAACCTAGAAATCTACCACACTATTCATGTGACTTTTAATTAGATTGTATGCTGTGTGTGATCAGAATAAAAGAAACAATTTTAGGCACATATTCTACTTATGGCATTCAGTAAGAAATTGATTAAAAACAATAGAGCTCAATTACTTGGAAGTCAGTGCTGCTGCTTGCCTTTTTTCTCATGCTTTCTTAGGAATACTAATGAATAACAGACCTTTCAACATCGTCAATAACACTAGCGAAAGGAGACCTCATTGGTTCAAGACACTAGCATCTCCACAAAGAATTAGAAACTACGATAAATTCTGCTTCTTGGACCCACTATGGAAAATGGTAACATGTTCATCAGAGAATTCAATTAGCACAGGCCAGTGCAAACAGTACGCACGTGTATGTCTGTGTGTTTGGGTATGTGTGTCCTTCATATAAGGTACAGAGAACTCTATGCATTAGTAGATTTGTATTGATTCCCCAGAGCCAAGGTTCTTTTTTTTTCTTCTCTCATACTGGAAGTCAAACTCAGGACCT